GTAGCATACCTTAGTATCCTATTTATAATATTTCTCTTTTTTCTTCTACAAAAATATAAAGTACAAAAGAGAAAACAAAAACACCCTTAGGATATAGTAGAAACCTAATCCCTTTGCAAAGTAGATAATGGCATTCACCATAGGAAACAGTGGGCCTACATCCAAAGAGAAGCAAAGAAGATCATCCTATTCCAAACAGTGAGTTTTTTTCAGGAGTATCCAAATTCTAGATGCCTCCCCCATCGGTCATGAGGAGGTAAAGTTTAGAGATTGAGAAAACACCACCAGGTCTTTATATATTGGATTCTGACAAGGCCTACAATAAAGTGAATTGGGGTTGTAGAAAATCATAGAAGGGAATTTGGTTTAATTTCTGTTTGCCTAGTGGGAGGAATCATCAAATGGTTAAGGTGTGTTTGGTAACCATATATTGTTATTCCGTTCCCCCGTAAAACTGTTAGAAATTGGTTGTATTCATTTCCTATAAATAAACACCTCCTGGTGAAGGAAATAAGACAAGTAGAAGAGAATTTTTTCACTCTCAAAACTTCATGGTATCAGAGCAAATCTTATCCAGGAGCTTCATCCCGACTGAGCCGAAGTCACAGATGGCCACAGGTGAGCTACCGTCTTCTCCACCCGAAGTTTTCTCGGGTTCCTATCTTCCCGCACCCATCAACCATGGTTTGATTGAACAGTCTTCGTCATTCATTACCGGACACAAACTAAATGGCAACAACTATCTCCAGTGGTCATCATCGGTGCTGCTGTTCATCCGAGACAAGAGCCGAGATGAATACCTCACCGGCGATATCATACCTCCACCTGCTAATGCTTATGGCAATTTTTCCTTACAGCTAACTCTTTGTGCACATATAAGAGCAAGTCCATTTGCACAAAATAGGTGGCATTCCAAAATGAATATTTTGCTCTTAAAGGAGCCCTCGAAAGTGACTCTAGCTTTTATAAGAGGCCATTCCCCTTTCTTAGATTAAGTGTGGTGTATGCTATAAAGCTGCACAAACTCAAAGTTGCCTTCTTTTGCATTGTGATATGGCTTTGAAGCCTTGGTCGTAACTATTTGACATTTTTTGTGTCTTAGTTGTTCTTCATCATCTTGAGGGGTTTATTACCTTTTCTTTTGTGATTTTGGCTAAAGGAAATAAAGCAAAGCACTTTCTAGGGGAGCTATATTCGCCAGTTCGTGTGTGATTTGACTGGAAAGAAATGTCAAGATTTTAGGAAATATTCTTTCCAATTTAACCCCTCTGGGATAGGATGTCTATTTTGGCATCTCTTGGACCAAAATTCATGGTTACTTTTTAACATTATTTTTCAAAAATAAAAATAAAAATAAAAATGAAGTTTTTATCAAAGATAGAGTGTAAAACATAATAAAGAGAATCAGATATCATCTTAGGACCTTCTTATGAAATGCTCCAAAACAAAATATAATTATAACCATACCCAACCAAAATCAGTTCATAACTGCCTCACAACTCCTATATAACTCTGATATAGACATACCACGAGATTTTCCATGAGCTTTCACCCATAAAGAGGCTCGAAATGCCATCCTATCTAGCAAAACTTGGTTGTGAGAGATTAAGGTCTCCAAGAATTATTTGATTTCAAGATGAACAATCTCAACAATTCATACAGGAGGGAAGAGGGGAGAGTTGGCAGCAGTACGGCTGGAGGAGTCAATTGGAAAGAAACCCTTCACCTTGTTATTGAGTAATGCTGAAGCAGAATGGCTCTCACAATGTATCAAAATGGTGCTGTGAAAAGGGATACTACACACACCAATTGCATCGAGAAAGAAACAGCACCAATTGGGCACACCTAAAAGTGGAGCACATCATGCGGAGCACCGGTGCCAGAGTTTGGTTAGCCCAATTCAATTTTTAAAAACGCTAACATCAAGCCGCACAATCAGAAGTGTGCAAACAAAATGCGAGATTGGGAGACGATGAGATGGAGATATGAAACGGCTACCACGATACTCTCCAAATATTACTGCTGATCTGGCAGGAAGCAAAAGAGTAAGGTCCCACGTACAATAAGGAAAAGAAAACTTATAGAGAGGTCTATGCAAATAAGCAAGATTTGCAAATCAGGCCACAAAAGAAAAATGGGCCTCAAAACAATAGGCTGCCATGTTTGGAGAAGACTGTGAAGGGAGGAGAAGATCGGAAGATATTGAAGCCCAAACCTGCAAACCTGGATAAGTAGAGCGAATCCAGCCTTTTCTGCAGAATGAATCAAGCCAAAAACCGGGCCCAGATGGCGCTTGGTAACCGAATAGAACAACCAAACGAGAGATCCACAATTCCGGGGAATGGACCAAAATGACCATATGAGAATTACCATACAGCAGCAGCTTAAATCAATCATCCTCCCAGGGAAAAATCACGCTGATGACCTGGTTTTTACTGCAAATGAGACTGGAAAAAAAGACACACCAAAGCCTTAATAAGAGATTGGATAAAAGATTAGATATTAGAAATTTTGAGATTAGGAAAGGAAGCAGAAAATTAGCCCACCACCTTCAAAGAGGAGGAAGAAGATAACACAAATGCCGAGCAGAGAGAAGAGCAAGTTGGTGACAACCAACTTTCTAATTCCTCTTATTATTCCCTGTCCATTGCTGATGAAGGGAGTGAAGAAATAAAACCGGAAGAGAAGACGCAAGAAAACATAGAGGAAATGTGGGAAGGACTACAATTAATGTTCACTGTTCAAGAAGAAAATGAGTCAGCGTATTCAAGGCAGCTAGTTAACGGGTATATCGTTAATGTTGAGGAAAAGAAGGATAGAGGCACTGATAAAACTCGAGGACTAGAGAACATATTGGAGAATCGCTTAAACACTAAGGCAAAAATGCAGAAGTCTTCGGGTAACGATACATTCCCTTCATTAATCTCTAACCATCTTTTTCAGGTCATTACAGGGATGAAGGAGAGTAGTGGTTTACCAAGTGAAGGTATCCTACCCATTCCCACTTGAAATTATAATGCAAGAGGCCAACTTGAGCTAAGAAAGATGGAGGAAATAAAGGGAAGGGACATAGCCATAATGATAAATCTAGGTCAGGGAAATCC